AACGTGTGATACGCTTCCCAATGAAGTGCGTGGAAAATCGGCACTGAAGCAATGTATGATTAGAGACTGCACAGGTGTGCTAGAAACATCAACAGTCCAAGATACAACCATCCCAAGGGAAGCTTATGGTGATATGTGCTATTTGAGTCCATGGATGACAAGTTATCGAATGACACCAAGCGGTCAATCAGTGCTTACTGTGACTGAAGCTACTGTGCTAATAGTCGATGTCGAGTACATAGCTGAAACAAGGGTTCGTCATTGTCCAGGGGTTCAGAGTTGAGCCTACCTACCTGAACTTCTGATGGATAGCGCCGTGCTCTAGAGGAATAGATGACCACTTGCCAGCGGAATTCCGCCTAATGGCCACTAAGCTGGGCGTTATTAGTCGAGCTTATCTTCCAGGTGATGGGAGTTCACATGACTCCTCGCGTTCGAATACATGCGTCACTAGAGTCTCAGTGCGTTGCAATGGTATCTAGCAGTTATGGCGGATGAGACTTACTAGTCATAACTTTCTAGTTATAGACATTAGCGATCTCGAAAATCGACGGCACTCGTAGTGCGCAAGGTCGGCCGGTGGCCGAGTGGTCTGCGCTCCTGGTTTGCAACCACAAGGTCCCCAGTTCGAATCAGCGTACGGGTGGGCATCCTCGCGGCATACTCAGCCGTCGCGCAACTGGTGGTGATTGCGTGGCAGCAAAGCGCTGTTGCGGCGTACAGTTGGCGATCATTTTTTATTAGAAGTGCGTAAGAGCAGCTTTGGGTAGGTGTTGTTAACGGAAAGTGGCTTATCATAATAGCAGGCAAGAGTAATTAGATCAAGTGGATGCATCGAAAATAGACTGGAACCTGTGAAACCACGGTGTGCTTCTAAATAGACCATCTGCATCATCATCAACAGTCCTATAGCAACCATTTGAACTGATGCCCTGCTGCCTTACAACCGCTATGACCTACGGAAAAAGAATGACAGGAAGAGAAGAGGAACCTGGCATAAGACCTTAGTAACAAGCAAACATTCAGGGTCAAGACACCTACATCTTATGCACATGTTGTCACAAACAGTTGATTATGGTGCATCGGTACCAGGAAGACAGTTTCCTTGCGGCTTTCGTTGCTTTGCGTCATAATCAACCAGTACTCCGCCGGTAACAGCACGAAACCCGCTGTAAAGAGGTAGTCCGACTAGGAAACGACAAAAGATGCACCACTGGTGTCCCCGACTGCGAGCGATGTCTTGTAACGTCGTGAGTCAAGCAAAAGGCGGGTCACGTGGACTCCAATCTGGACCAACAGCACCAAGCCTTGTAGTCAAGGACTTCATTTCCTGCTGCCAGATTAACATTTGTTCACATCGAGCTTTGCGTCACTTTACATCCGGCAAAAAACAAGGCTCACCTCAGTAAGCAGTGACTAAACATACGTAGCATATGCCCAAGCCAAGGTAACTTATTTAGTGCCATCTGTTGTTATAAAAAATTAGCCCGATTATCGCCGCCTAGAACTTGCCTACGCACATCATCGTTGCGGACACGCTGGTGCCACCCGACACCAGAAATGCTTCACAGGCAGCGATGATCATATGTGAAGGCATTTCAGATCCTCAGACTGAAGGGGCCAAGTCTATCGCCCACAGAATAGGACGGCACTCACTGTGGCTTTGTAAACGTGACCCTTCACAGAGGGAAACCCCTTTCTGAAAACACAGATGTCGCAGATTCGGAAAGGCAGGTATGGCTTTTGCAACACGTGAACTGACTTCAATCGTTATGCGCCCGTGGTTGCTGATGCAGCAGTCAAAGTGAAACGAGCAACTATCTTGAGCCCCTCGCTATCAAGGTGTAAGGAGTACACAGGTGGTTGGTGGTCTTGTAACACAGCACTTTTAAGAGGCGAAGCACATGCCAATGATACAACTGTAGAGATTATTCTGGGTTGATTGGGTCAACCAACATCGTTAAACTGCAAGACAATATCATCCGCATAATCAATGCCAACTACCTCCTCAACGGCCGCATTGTGATTCCGCGAGATAACACTCCATAGTGAAGTCCAAGAGAGGAAACGAAAAAGGATAAATCGAGCAACCCTGACACATGCTACTTGTGGTCAGGAAGATATCCGACAAGTCTCCGTAGACCCTGACAAAACCTGTGGTGCTCGAATACGAGGCACGTAAATGTTTACATTTTCGTGGGAACCACTTTCCGCACAAGTATTTCGAGTAGAAGCAATCGGTTGACGGAGCAGAACATACTACTGAAGTCCAGGGACACAGCTTTTGACGATCTGCGGTACACGTGGCGTTGCTTTAGCACCCGTCGAAGAGTAAACATATAGTCTAGATAGCCCCACCGTGGCCGTAAACTAGCTTGCTTTTCCCTAACTCGGGATTCCTGTTCCGGAGTGAGGCGACGAACGAGAATTGAGGCCCGTAATTTTGTCACCACCAGCATTAGGCTAATACCTCGGTAGTTAGCAAAGTCATTGCGGCTGCTCTTCTTGTATATTGCCACCATAATCGATGCACTTCAGGTAGCTAGGATGTCCTCTTCCTTCCATACCTGTACAAACAGTTAGTGCTTTGCAGAAGACCTCACCACCACCCTTAAATAGCGGGTTCAAGTGAATCCGGGCCAGCAGCTTGAAAGTGATTAACAGTTGTAATCGTGTTTTAAACCTCAGCCATCGATGCAACCACTAAACTAACTGACCATGGCTCAGTCTGTACCATCTCAGTGGGAAAAGGTTCGGAAGCAGTGGACCAACTTAAGTTTTTGAAAGTGCTTCGCCCAACGAAAATTGGGCGCCCCTTATTTTGAATTAGAGCGCCCGCGTAGTCACCATGACGCCTGGTTTCCTGGGACCAGTTGTACGGAGCAGCTAGAAGAGATTGCGATAAGTGCTCACTGTTCCCGTCTGCTTCAGTTCTTGAGCCCTATTGGTCCATCAAGATTCCTTAACAGCACACAGGCTCAGTTTTGGTTCGAGCTCAATACTCTGTTTGGCTACATCGTGTTTAGAGCCATCCAAAAGTTTTCTTCTGGGTTCCAACAGGTTCACTGATCTCTGGGATATTCAGTGATTGGTGCGGGGATGAATGATAGTACCGCAAGAAGAGGGTCGTGCGTCGTGCTTGGCAGCCGAGACCCTATTCCACTTAAGCACAGTGTCATTAGGACAAAAAAGCGAAAGTCTGGTACGCAAGATATCTTAGTAGGCTTGCCAATCGAAGACAATTGGTACGCCTCTCGGTTATGTTCATGGAAAATGACGGCACATTAAAACATGATCAAAGTCCGCGTAGGTAATCCAAGACGAGCGGTAATCCAGGATGGAACCACGCCATCTGACTTGTGGCAACATGATCTATTTGGGCCCACCGCTAGCCAGCTATAGGGAAAAGCCAATTGGTACTTCAGTGTCCACTATACCTGAAAGCGGTGCTACGAAGGAACAGCCGGTATTCCGTGCAGTTGAGACAGACGCTCGCCGTCGTCCATCCGGTCGGAGTTAAGTCCATACTTACCACCTGGCTAAACATCTAAGGAGTTCAGATGACCAATTTGCGCACTCATATTTCGCAAGAATTAGGGTAGCTGAACTACTAACACTGCGCAGCAACTTGCTTCGTTCATAATAGAAGCCGTTCTTGACAGTAGCAGAACTGCTGTCGGTAAGGGCATAGGTGAAAACAACAAACAGCGTCTAACCCTACTTCGTGAATCAGCCCTAGCTGATGTCGTCAAACGTGTTGCACATGATTGGATTCTCACAAAAATCCAGTCAACCAACGATGACGGCATTGGAAACGAGAACAATGCCCATTCCAAATTGACTAGCAGTTATTGCAACAGTTTCTTCGAATGCGTACAACCAACAGCGAGATGACAACACGGGCGCAGTTAGTTCAACAACCCCATTAGAGCCAGTGACCCTAGTCTCGGACACAGCCCACGTTGACACCGAGTGTATCCAAGGTGTGAACGAGTGCAGGCTGTTGACCTAGTTATTTTAGAATGGGAACGTTGAACGCCGCCAACGGAACGGAACAGCGTGGCCTTATGATGATCTGTTGCCGATAGGGGTATAGTGGGTGGTGCGGGATAGAAGCTGCAAACGGTCCGAGTCGTGGCATTGCGGTTGTTGTCAATTAAGCTGGGAGTTATAGAAGGAAGGTTAGTAATGGAGGTCGGGTGAGGAGTAAGAGAAACAAGTTGAAAGGAAAGCAGAGAGGCGTCAGCAGTAGTATGTTACCACTTATCCCTCCTGTATGCAACAGTAGTGACCCTTGATAAGCTGCGCGGCTGCCGATGCAGGATGTGGTTGAACTGCGAGGAAACAAACTACAAAAGTATACTTGCCCGGCTTCCGTTGTGGGATGCTAACGTGTGTCGGGACGTGATGTGGAATAGTAACACTTCATTTAATTATAACAAGAGGTTTAGAAGTGGACTTAAGGTGCTAATGCTTAGCGAGAGAAGAAAAGACATATAGTGGGATTTGGGTTGTGAACTAGGTTAGCTTTGACGTACCGCAACACGCATTTCAGGTGACAACTCGACTGGTTCCTTTAACCGAGTCAAGTTGCTGACGTTAACTCGAAACTATAGTGGGCACAACTGGTTCGTATTGACGTAGCAGTCGAGGAAAGGTGAGGGTTCTCAATGCCAATAAACAATTCACCTGGAAATGGGCTTAACCTGAAATCAACAAATAACTGCGCAAGCAAAAGTGGATTAAGGCTTCTACCTTGCAAAAAATGCGCCCTTCGCAAGAGAAAACTTTTAGGGTGAGTAGGCTAAGATGTACGGTGGTCACTGAATACCGACTAATGGTTAGAAATAAAGAGGACTAATAAACTCAAAAAAGTTAGTGTGCTACAGTAATCTTGTTAATCAGATTAGGCTTGACCACGAAATGTGTTCCAAAAAGAAAGTAAAATAGCGCTCCAAACCAGAGAAAATTGGGCTAAGATTAGCACTGACGTTACTCACTTCAAGGTTTTTTGTACCTCTAACAGCTTTTTCTTCTCCATTTCCTCTTGACGTCTGAGTTTGGACTGTTCCATTGAGTTGCCGTCTTGGAAATCAGATCCAATGCCAAGAGCCTCCTTGAATACCGTATTTTTTAGTATGTTAACGGCTGCAGTCTCGTGAGTTCCTTTAGGCACTAAGCGACCAGTCTCTTTTTCAATGGTTTCTGTGGGATCGACCTGCAAGTGTGGCTGTTTTGGGGGCTCATTCCGCAACTCTTCGAGAAGTTTTGAACGATAAGCCGAAACCTTCTTCGCAATTTCCGATTGTGTATAGCTGGAAAGTAAAACTAGTAAAAGGCAACAAACCCTTGATCTTCCATTATTTGTTCCATCTCAAAACACTTGACTTCGATTTTTCGCTTCTTTTCATGTTCTAAAATCTCCTTATTAGGTTCCTTGAAGAAAGCGGCGTCAGCACGCTTCACATCATCATCAGTCTTGTATGATGGCTTTTCTTTAATGTTGTTTATGAAAGCCAGGTTTCTCTGAACGTATCCATTTGTTCCACTGCCTCGTGGAGTAGGAAGACCAATCCCGTTGTACATTATAGAGTATAGAAATCACAAACGACGCGACACAACGGAAATATACCCCGTAGTTGAGCGACACAACAATGCTGACAGAGCGACGAATAATGATGTTTGTACGTTGGAGAATATACATGCGGACAGCAATCCATGCTCTTGACTATTTGCATAATTTCTTATTTTTTAATTTTAATTTTAACCTTAATATTAACTAAAGCTATAAAACCTTAATAGATAAAGCTTTATGTTTCGATTTAACATCACGTTGCCATGACTCGCGGTAGTGAATGCACAAAATATTTACTTGGTTGCTAAATATTCACGTTGCTATTGCTTTTTATAGCTTAACTTCTTTCTTTGTGGGACAACTTTTAAAAACTACTTCCCGCCCCTCTGTGAAAAGTTTATTTACTTGTCCAACGAAATGAAAGCCGCGTACATAGACCTATACGTAGCAAAACAAACTTAACTTATGCGCACAGCTGTGCCAACTATTTCAACTAAACAGGTCTGTGTTCAGCATACTTACATAGTTTTCTATACTAGACTTATCTATTATGGTTAAAACGGTTCTTTATTAATCAGAAGCATGTCAGATATTGTCACTTTCATGACGCAAATTTCATGGTCCAGCAATGACTACCAACGGATCAGGCTGCTAACTATCACCTAGCTCTGTAGTAGAAGGTTTTGGAACGTATTTCCTCTTGTCATTTAACTTTCTCTGATGGCTGGTTCCATCGTCGATCACTTCCCCATGCGTGTTATATTTTTGTAGTTCTAAAGGTGTTACTCAGTGCTAAAAGACCCTACAATGTGCTTTGTGTAACGGCTTGGTTCGTGTGCCTTCAATGATATCCGCTTGGGCTAATATGCATTCCTTCAACTGAATGCGCCTCCTATTTTCGCCTTTTTCTGTGACTTATACATCCTACCAATTAGCAACCAGTCTCATTTTGCTCTATCATCAGCACTTATTACGCCTCCCGGTTTTCTGTAAACTGGTTTTCTTGACTCTCTGGACTTACTCTTACAAGCAGGGCACAGTACCCCATTGCTGTGTTTGTCACTTCCACTGATGAGTATAGTCATGCCACATCTCTTTCAGTAAATGGAGCCATTCAACATGCTGCTCCCCTAATCCAAACCTAAGCATCAGTGGTGTAAGTATAAAAGGTGCTCTCAGGCACTCGTAACGCAGACATACGAGAAGGGAAGCCCAAATTAAGAGCTAGTGTTAAACCCAATTACTCTACGTCATTGGAGATTAGGCCGGTTCACCTTAGCTTCACTCAGTTAGAGAAGTTGATCAAGGGCAAATCGTATCCATGAGCAATAGGAATCAAGTGTCGCATATCGCCACGCGGGTGGCCGTTGCCTTACGGTCATAAAGGAACCGGAGTCTACCAAATTTACGCCAAGTGTGAAGAGCTTAGATACTTGAACTTTACCAAAACGAATGGTTTAATAGCTGTTTGATGTGGGAGCACCAGGTATAAATATTATTTCTGCCTTTCGTGTTGGCAATAAGAACGATGACTCCGCAAAATCTAGCCCGCTCAAGATGGTCTGCTATAACGAAGATGAATGAGGTCATGTCCTATGACGAACTTCACGTCATAAATATTTATTTTCAGGTTCTATGAGATCTGTCCTCCGAGGATCGTATAAAAGTAAAGAGCGCAATTAATGAACTAAATATCCGCTAAGCAGATAGTGGAGTGGACAAACACATTGTGGATATGAAAAGTTCGGTGAACCCAGAAGCCTTGCTGAAGTTCAACACTTAACTTTCTCGGGCAGTGGGATCTTAAATGGTTTGCGGGTATTGTCCGATAAGGTGCACCGATTGTATAACAGACGGCATGAGGTTTAGTTTCTTGCCTTCGATAAGCAACCTGGATTAGTGGATTTCCCTGAGACCCGCCTGCTCCCAAGCATCTGTGAAGCAGTGTTTTAGATCGCTGGATATCACCTCTCCCGTGCTGACCGCCACGGAGTGTGATCCATTGGTAGCGTGCTACTCTATTAGGAAGCGGAACTCAAGGCACATTCGTTTGCTGCTATTTGCAACATAGCTAGATGTCCTGAAGCTGCCTAAGGTCGTATTCACTACCTGCCAAGAGCTCTCATGGACCTTGTCGAATACAGTTATGCTTGGGGTTCACGAAGTCTTTAGCTGAATTCAACGTAATCTCGTGCCAAAGATAAAGACTGATTATTTGCTGGAGAGTTTATTGCACATGCCGGCGTCCGGAACGCCCATTTGTGGTCCATATTCTGGCCATCTTGACAGGCGCCAACTTCAGCTTGGTTTGTAACGCACACGTTAGTCCACGGGCAACACAACGCACATAATTGAGCAAGCGCACTCCCAGACGCCAAACATGTTTTGAGCTGGTTGTTTTCCAACTTATTGGTAAAAAGGTCACTGTGTTACTTTTTGATGGACACGTTGGTTAAACATTGATGATCAGAGTAATCTCCGGCATAATTTTTCGCGCGAGTTTCTGCAATGTCTAAGGGATGCTGTCTTAACCTCATGGCTTCAAATTCCGCCTTGAGTGAGCCATGTTTTACGTGATTTATCCGTATGAATTTTACACAAATATTTTGATTTGGGGTATTCGGTGCAGACGTTGCAAGGAACGGCTTTCGCGAAAATGACCGTTTAAATCGCAGGTGCTGGTTGTCTAAGGAAGGCTAAACCCATAGGTTCCGAACTGAACGTTGGCTGTGGAGTAAACAGCTGTGCAAAACAAGTGCGGTTTGGAAAGTAATGCAGAAACTGCCGAAAATACTTCCATTCTTGATGTGCTCTCCTTAATCTCAGACAAAAAAGCTAGCTTAATAGTACAAATGATGCTCTCTGGTTCTGCACTAAATGTCAGTCTCTTCCAGGACTCAGAGTTATAACTGTGTTGGAGCGGAAGTAAAATAGGCTGACAAAGATCGTAGAGCAGGCAACAAACGGGAAAGATGTATCATATGTGCCAGACGAATCAGTGCCTCGAAATCGATGCCCGACCTCAAGCTCTAGTTCAGAACAGTGTAACAGTAAAGCTCCAGCTTTACCCACTCCGACCTAAGCAGCTGCTCATGACGCTGCGTTCGTCGCACGTTCTACAAAAATTCACCCGCCGCACGAATCAATGTTAAAGGCCCGACAACCTAAGCGTCCGTTGTTGCCGCCAATATGATAGAGGTCACTCCCATGATTAACCCGCCCCTACAAAAGGAGATACGCCCACTAATTCCACTACGGGACTCAAGACTCCATCATTTGTCCAACCTAAGAAAGCAGCCACTGGTCCCCCTTCTTTTGAAGGACATGATACACTACCATAATTCTCTGACTGTTATATGACCTGTTACAACTGGATCCGAAGCGAACTCCACAACACGTAAGATACTAGGCGACAAAAACAGTAGGACTCCCTGTGCCAACCATTAAGGTTAAAGTTAAATCAGTCAATATGATGCGCCTCATCCGTCACCAAAACACCGTACACTACGATGAATCGTAGTTTATCCAGCTAACTCTTCAGTCAGGTACTGATACAGTGGCAGTTCTACTGTCAGCCACTCGCCTCCGTATCTCCACATACACTGTTCGGATTTTTCCAGTGGTTCCTTGGAGCGAACGCCAGAAACTCAAACAAAATCCGGATGACTTCCGTAAACAACAAGAGGCAAAATCTAGCCTTGTGCACGGTATCCCCGAGCTCCAGTCACCAAGCGAGCTAGAAGTCAAAGCACATAACTAGGATGAATGGCGTTTTATTCGTGAAGCACTCTCACTCGAAAATGTTATCAAGGTTACTGCTATCATCTACCTACAAAGGATGTGGTCCACGAGCGATGAAAGTATCATTGCACTCCGAACAACTGGCAGAACAGGAACTCAAAATGTGACACAGAGAACGTAAAATGCTGCCATCCGATGTGCCTACAAAGGCAATAAGCCCCGGGCCACAGGTAGGCAATGTAACACTGATCAAGCAACTTACCAATACAATTCTGTCACTGTGTATCTCAGAACGGAAGCATCGCCAATTCACACAGACAGCTGAAGTAGAACAGAGTGGTCATCCTCTTGTTGGCGCTGAGAGCTCTATACAAAACCTGAAATGGCCCTAGGGACTGCGTCATCGGTCTTACAAAGAAGCAACCGGGAGCCGACCCCACAAGGGTCCGCATGGACCCACACTAAAAACCAACATTCCTAAACACGCTTCTGACCACCAATGCCATCACATGCTTGTATACCAATGCACAAGGTCTTCTCAGCAAGCTAACCGAATTCGTATGTGTCAGCTCGCCACTGCTTGGGATCTAATTGTTGTCACCGAAACATGGCAGAACTCGGTGATCAGGGACGCTGAGCTTGAACTACCCGGCGTGCCTTCCATACGAAACGATAGACCTAGAAGAGGAGGGGAGTGCTCCTGTATTTTTGAGCTGACCTTCATGTTAATAGCATTAAGGACCCAGAAACCAAAGCCGCCGATTCTCTTTGGTGTCGTATGCACCTACGACGTGGTAATGTGTTATCTAGCAATTTGTTACTGCCCTACGATGTCCACCTTGGAAAAGGATCAATGCTTAGCCTCTGGGATGAAACGAGTCCAGAACAACCATACAATCACGTCCTTCTGGTGCATTTTTCCATCTGAACGCAATTGATGCTACAGCATCGATCAGCGAGAATTCAAGGCTGACTTACAAGAGGTGATCGCCGATGTACCTCTGTACAACTATGTCGCCCCTCCCACGCGATTCCGAACGGGCGACACACCCACTGTTTCGGACCTTGTGCTCACCAAATCGGCACTAATGGTAGACACCGTGACCATGGATGCACCACTTGGCAGTAGTGCTCACGCGACATTGCTCTTTCGTTAAGTCTGTTACTCGAAGTACATCAGGTAGAACAACGTGAAAACCTATGTCGTTTTGCGTTACAATCTACTGCCCAACTTCGTTCAAGAAACCGACTGGTCCTACCTGGCCGAGAGGCAGCTGGATGTCGCCTGGCTGTTGTTCGTCACCCAATTCACTGATCGTTTGTCAAATGCGTCAGAAAGTAGGGTC